GACCTGATTTGTAGAGTTTGCCAATTTCTGTGGTGTAAGTATTCCCATCTGATTTCAAGTTATCAATAATTTAAGAACTGGCTCACAAAATTCCTAAATTTTTAACCGTTGGTTCCTGTGAACTGGGACGAGCGAGTTCCCCTGCGTGAGCGAGGGTGCAGCTCTGTGACTCTGGGAGATGGAGCGATCGGTGGCCCTTTCCTCACAGCAGTTCTGGTCGCGTTGGGGGGCCTGCTTCCCCCGGTTTGCGGTAGGTTGGGCCAGTGCACAAGGGACCTGAAAACTCAGGGTAGCTGATTCTCAGGCTCCTGTCACCCACCAGGAGTGCCCTTAAACCCAGGCAAGAGGGCCCCTGTTTTGGTACCCATGTTTCCAAGGCCTGGCCCGGATCCTCCCCAGGCATCGCTCTCAGCACAGAATAAGGAGCCAGACCAACAGGAAACTACCTCCCACCTCTGCTCCACATACTCTAGAGGCCCAGGACCCTGAATTCTCTCTGCAAAAGGCGTCTCCCCTGAGACTGTGCACCTGACCCCAAGGGCTGGCCGAGGAGGGCTGTTTGTCAAGGGCATGGACAGAGTGTGGATGTGGGGCTGGGGGCTCCTCACACTGGATACACACCCCCAGAGCTAGGAGTGGGAAGTGTAAAGTGGGGGGTGGTCTGGACCTGGCTGATTTTCTGCATGTCACCACATTTTGGTGGACTTTGAGGAGCCCAAGAATTCTAAGCAAAACCCTGGCCCAGTAGGTCATTCTAAAGACATAGTGTCAAGGTAGGAGAACTGAATATACTTAACAGTTTGTCAGTCACATTATATGAATAAATATCCAGATATACGTAGTGAGCCTCCATTGTACTCTACCCCAGGTGTTGGAAATATCAGGAGTGGTCCTGCCCTACCCCCAATCACCAGGGGTGCATTTATTTATTTATTTTTTAAGGATGATTTTATTTATTTATTTATTTATTTAATACTAACCCAAGGATATTTTTCTTTAGATAGAGTGGAAGGTGGTGGTGGTGGGGGGGGGCAAGAAACATCGATGTGAGAGAGACACATCAATTGGTTGCCTCGCAACTGAGGTACCTGCCCTTGGCCGGAATCGAACCCGGGACTCTTTGGTCTGCAGACCGACGCTCTAGTCACTGAGCAAAACCGGCCAGGGCTACGCGGGCTGCCTTCTAAGCAAGCTCCAGCCCCAGGCAAGTTTCTGCCCACTGCATGTTTTCATACATGCTGCGAGCTAAGCATGGGTTTTACATTTTTAAATAGTTTTTAAAAACCAAAAGAAAAATATTTCATGGCATGAAAATTACCTGAAGTTCGAATGTCAGTGCCATCCACCGTTTGACTGGAGCACGGCCATCCTCGTTCACTGGCGCGTCGCCGTGGCTGCCTGCACCACCGCAGCGGAGGGAGGGGCTGCGGCAGACGGCCCAGCCTGGGAAGCTGCAGGCCTTTACTGCCTGGCTCTTCCAGACCGAGTGTGCCTACCCTTCCCGACAGACAAGAGGAAGAAGAACCCAGCTGTGCTCACGCAGGCGGCACAATAGAATCACCTGTTGAACTCCCAGAATAGACCACGGCTGGGGATCAACCCTCAATAGTTCTAGAATGAATTGGTCCAGGGTGGGGGTGTTTTTGAAACTTCCCTGTGATTCTAAGGGGAGCCAGGGCTAAGGGTGTGGACACATGAGGGTCTGACTTCTCCAAATATTAGGCAGAATAAGGTGGCAGGGCTTGTGCCTGCTTCCCCCAAGAGTCTGCATGGATAGCCTTTCTTTGAGGATGCAAGGTACCCGGTTACCTCCTTTGGTTGGAGACGGAGAGAGGGAAAATAATCATTTATTGTTTCACATTGTATTATGATGCATAAAGCTGTCTTTTGTTTTTTTTGGTACATGCCCCTAGCGGGAACCGAACCCAGGACTCTCTGGTCCACAGGCCGACACTCCAACCCCTGAGCCAGACTGGCCAGGGCTGTTTTTTAAAATGCAATTTAAAAAATTCTTCCTTTTATTTCATTCATTTATTTTTAATGGAATTTATTGGGGTGACACTGGTTTGAAAAACCAGGCAGGTTTCAAGTGTACAACTCAATAAGATTTCATGTGCACACGGCTCCGTGCTCCCATCACCTTAAGTCACCTCTCTGGATCCTTGAACCGCTGGCTCCAACACGTGTCCCTGCAGGGCCCCCAGCACTGTCTGCATGCCAGGCACCTTGGGCTGTTGTCACACGGCCCTCCACCCCCCACACCGGGTCACTTCTCAGGATAGACGCCAACAGGGAACCCTTACCCCACCTGTGCCACATGCCCTCCGTAATTATTGGTGGTCTTGCAGGGAAGGCGAAAAAAGACAACTCTATCAGAATCCCATTCTCCACCGGCACAGTCAGCACCGCTGGCAGAGGCTGGCTCGGGCTGCGGGGCTGCTCCCAGCTATTATTGTGCCTGGCTCTCTCTCAGCGGGACTCAGCGCAGACAATAGAGCACAGCAAGTGCGTGGGGGACGAACATAAACACGAGGCCTTGGATTTTCAAAAATCTTGTCAGTTTTCCCCTGATTTGTGTCCTTTATCCTAGCCCCCTCTGCTGTATAAGCTTCTCAGAGCTAATGCCCATAACGCCACCACCCACTGGTAGCAGCAGGCTGCCGGGGCACTGGGGGGTTCTCAGGGCACAATTTACAATGCCTGCCGCCACGCAGCAACTGGGGGCTCAGGGTTGCTCTGACACCCGCCCCTCTGGCGTCCTCTGCTCTGGGGCTGGTCTAGGAGTGCCAAACTGCTTGCCTCGGCGATCACACATCACACGCCCAGCCTGGCAGAGCCGGGAGCCCTTGCGGAAGGAAAAGGGAACGTTGGGCCATTATGGAGGTAAGATGACTGTCGCCTCTGCTGCCACATTGAAAAGTTGGCAAGTATCTCCCAGAGCTACTTGTTTGCCCTCCTGTAGATACCAGTGTTCCATCTTCACCTTTTGTTGTTGTTAATCCTCACCCAAGGGTATGTTTCCATTGATTTTTTAGAGCGGGGGGGGGGGGGGGGCAAAGCATCCTGTGAGAGAGACACTCTGATTGGCTGCTTCCTGCATGATCCCGGCCAGGCTGGAAGTTGAACCCGGGACCCTTCGGTCAGGGCCCGCGGACGCTTTAACCACCAAACCAAACCGGCCAGGGCTGATCTTTGAAGAGCTCACGGGATTACATCGACCCAGGCTCACAGGCTCTACAACGTGAGCCCTGCCGAGGCTGCGGGCGCGACCTCAGCAAGGGCGTGTGTGCTTCCGGGGCTGCTGGAAGCTGTATCCACCTCACGGCCTTGAAATGACTCCAGGGATCAAGTGGTTCTTTGGACACTTCCACAGCTCTGATCAGTTTCCAGGGCAACATTTGGTGCCCATTTAACTAAGAAATTTGCCTATTATCTCTACCTTGGGCACCATGATGTCTCCCCATTTCTTGTCCTAGAGTCCACAGATGAGTCACTGTTTTCTGGGAAACAGCGACAGTCGGGGGCGCACGAGCTGGCTCCTGTGAGCACTTCTGGAATGGAACAGGCATCAGCTGAGAGCACTTGTGTTTGCTTTTGTGAGGATGTTTGTGACGGTTTATAAACTAGTAAGTCACGGGTGATCCAGGGGAGGAGCAAGGGGAGGGGAACCGGGGGTAGCTGCTGCCGGTAGGTGAGGGTCTGCCCAGGGGAAAGGCAGGTGTCCTGGGCCCTTTTAACATGAAACTTGAACTTACCCTTCAAGGGTAAATATTTTCAAATCATATCTATAGACCGATGGCTGCATCTGACATGCAATTTATTAGCAATTTGCCAATGGGGGTTCGTGTGGGGTTATGAAGCCGACAGATCTAACAAGGTGATGATAGAAAGGACATCGACCCCCCCAAGGCAACATGGCCAATCCCAGGGTGAGCGCCCCGCCCACCCAGGTGCGGCCCCACTGGGTGGTGTTCAGGAAAGTGTGCTCGGCTGGCAGAACATCGGTGGACTGAAGCTTTGATTTGTATTCAGTGGAGGGTAACCTACTCGCCTCATCTTAGGACACATGCAAAAAAAAAAAAAAAAAAAAAAGGAAAAAGGGGTAATAAACAATAAATAGGGTTGTTATTAAACAAAACCAGACTGGCCGCAGATGAGTAGAACACCTGGTGAACACCGGAGGAGGAGCTGGGGGCTATGACGGCCTCTTCCACTTCACCTGAACTCGGCCTTGAAAATCAGGGACAGGGAGGGTTTCAAACATTCCTGGAACGTTCCTGCTGACTCACTCCTTCCCACATCCAAGAGCACTGTGCATTTCGTCTCTCATTTCTTTTTTTTCTTTATTGATATTAGAGAGAGAGAGAAGGAAGTCAGAGGAAGAGTGAGATAGAAACATCGATGAGAGAGAACATCAATTGGCCGCCTCCTGCATGCCCCCCACAACCTGGGCACGTGCCCTGACCGGGAATAGAACCGGTGACCTCTTGGTGCCTGGGTCAACGCTCTACCACTGAGCCACACTGGCCAGGCTCATTCCTCTCTCTCAGAATGGTTGTGCCTAAGAGTTTTCAAGACCATGTTTCTTCGACCCAGTGTGTGGTGTTTTGGATACCCACCAAGAAGATGTACCAGGGAAATGTACAGATTCTTTTATTCCATATCATGTTACAAGAAAATAACAGTGACAGCTGACAAACCATTACATCTTTCATAATACAGACAAATTACAATTGGGGACAAATATGCAACATGTATTATTCCATTCTCCTTACTATGTGTTATTTTGCAGTATAATAGTTTTCTGAATGATGCTAGCACATTTCTTAGGTACCCCTGTTAGAAAGTACGCATCTCAGTGTATCTTACAGGAAAAAAAAAGATTAAAAAAAAAAAAAAAAAATCCACTCCCAGCTAGAGAATGCAGATTTTATATGTGCCTCTAACATATGCTGCTGTGGTGTGGGAATGAGATAGGAGATTGCTGTTTTCATTTGAGGTTTTTTTTTTTTTTTTTTGCTTTTTTCGTTTAGTTTTTGGTGTAGGAGGATTGCAAGGCAGTAAGGTATGTGGTTTCCTCTGCCTACAAGCCAGTAAGGAAGATGGATATTCTGCACTATTATGCAACATCTTGTTATGTATAGGGGCAGGCGATAATCTACCCCAGTATGTACAGCCTAAACTTCCTCTTATATAACAAAGATTACAAAACCAGTAATATTCACAGATGAGTATCTTATATAGACGCATAACCTAGGGTAGTGATTACACTGGCTGTCACGCTCACACTGAGGAAAGGGTACCGGAGTCCTTGCTTTCTCTGCAAGCCCGGAGGCGCCCCTGGAAACTTCTCACCGCTCCTGAGAGGTAGAAACAGCTTCTCACCCTCGTATCAGTGGGTGGACAGCCACCCCTGCTTGACGCCCCGCTTTTTTCTGAGCACTGCGAACATTCCTTCTCATGGCCTACCTATCTATATTTTTAAGTCAACCCTTCTGTTCCTTTGAGAACATGGACATGCAGCCCCCGTGTCCTTGCAGAATGCCGTGTGTGCAGGATGTGCCTTGGTACAGTCCCTGCGCTCATGTGTTCTTACTCGCCAGCTGTGTGGATGCAAGGTACTCCTTCATATAAAAATAATCTCACAAAAACATTCCAGTGCTTTCTCAGTGGAATAATAAATCTGCTAATGAACACATTCTGCGATGATTTTTGTGGCTGCCCTCAGCTAGCGCTGGTGGGAAGGGAAGGGAAGGGAGAACGAGAGACAACCCACACCTGGGATGTTCTGTGCTGATGGTGAGGACGGGGGGCTACAAATCCCGACACAAGATCTTCTGAGAGGTATGTCTCTGTAATAAAACGGGTTTACCCTCACTGAGGACTAGTATGTTTCATTTCCCGAGAGACGCTGCCTATGATAGGGCAGGATCTCTAAATGACTCTAACATTCCTCACTGAAGTCTTTTAACACTAAACATTTTCAAATTAGAAAGCTTGTTAAATAGCAGGATTTACCCATCAGTTGCTCTCGGTTTAAACTTAGGAAGATACAAGAGTTATGCCTCTTCCCCAAGTGAATAATTCAAGACAAATCACAGGCAAGGCTGTTTTTAATTGCATGTAAGGTTTTCTTCTCCTTATTTACTATAAGAAACCTTAATTTAAATACACATTAAATCAAAATACCTCTAAAGACTACCACTGGGTTGGAATGTATGAAAGAAGAATGGGAAATACTTCTAGGTAGCAAATAGTAAATACTCTAGCCTTGGGTAACTTTTTCTCTTTCACATCAATCAGTAAAAAATTCCTGCTTTACACTTAGAAGTGTACGATGAATGCTACTTCTGGGGAGGAGGGACGGTGACCCTGAATATATGATATGCTCACACCTCACTCCGGGGAAGGTGCCATTCTAATGTTTAGGAATTCTGGGTCCAGTTCCCTAGGTCTGCACTGGGTTCGACTACAGAAAAGCCTTTCTCTTACCTGACTCTCAGAGAAAGTCTTTGTCCGGCTGGCTCATCATTCCTAGACTTGATCCCCCAGAGTGAGAAAAGCATTTCAAGTTCTCAGTCTCTCCTTTTTTTCTAATAGGAAAATGTAAAACAATGTACACGAAGTATTTCCACAGATCAGGAATTCGTGTCCTGAGAAGCTAGGTTTCATGCTTTACATGCATTTCCTAGCCACCCCCTTGGCCTCGGCGTTATCTAGGGTTCTGCAGTGAGGCCCGTCCCCCTGGGAGACAGCGGGCATCAGACAGCTTCCCCTCCAGATCAAAGCCCACCAGCGCCCAGCCCGCTCCCCCTCCGTGTCATCCTCGCCTTCATCCTCCGGGCCTCTCAGCTCCCTGAACGAGGGAAGGCGGGCCTTTCTGTTTCCCTTTCCCACCGTTAAAGCAAGACTCCTGTATTGTTTCTACAACCTGCATTCAAACATTTTTGTCCAGGAGACAGTTTAAAGTTAGGGTATCCAATGATGGCTTCCAGTCAGCTTGGAATGTTTTAAACAAAAAAAAAGTAATTTAAAGGTGCTCTGGTGTAAACGAGCCCATTTTTAACTCTGGGTCACTTTGTAATTTGCCTTTTAAATGTTAACTAGCAGACATGGCTTTCCGGGCCCATCCAGCCCAGCCCACTCTGCGCACCCAAGGTTTAAACATTCTGTTCCTCACTCTTTTCCCCACCAAGCTAACACAAAGTGTCAAAGAGTGGATGGAAAAATAAGATGTTGACAAGACCCAGACAATGTAAAAAGTCACCTCAGTCTCCGGAGGTGGAAAAGTGAGCAGTTTATCCCTGTCTTTGTTCTTAATGCTTGATCCCGGTCTCTTCACTTCCCACCTACTGGAACACAGTCGTGCTACGCGACCTGAAAATGCTAAGCAGACTCTGATAGCCTATATAAACGTGTGGTATTTCCAAGGAAAAAACAAAAAAACAAAAAACCACACTTGCAAACGTCCTCAAAAGGTAGGCGACAAGTCGGGCCCCACGGCCGGGGACCCAGTTGTCAAATTAGTCGGAGAACACGGGTTTGCTTTAGCCGAACATCTCCTTCCTAGCGGCTGTGAAATGTGCACGGGTCTCCAGGAGAGCACACAGCTTCCCGCCACCACGTGGCTTTCAAGTACCGACGTGACTGAAGAAGTGCGAACACCAAATGTGTTGTCTTAATGTCTTTAAGACATGGCTGGTAAAAGCATAAAAACCTTTGCAGGGACGCTGTGCTGCGGAGGGAAATCAAACAAAATCAAACACAAAAGACTGAAAAGAATACATGCCATGTATCAGGAAGCAAAGCTTAATCTTCACATAGTTCTTGGAAATCACAAGGTATCCAAATGCGTGCAAGGTTTTAAAGAAATTGCGGAGAAAACAGGGTCTTGCCAGCTTCAATTTTCTTGTAAGTAAAATCCACCGCAGGGAGTAAAGGAAACGGATCTGTGATTCCCTTCCTATTATTGGCCACTTCATTAAATTTTTTTTTTTCTTCCCAGAATGATGACAACTTAATCCTAGAAGGAGGAAAAGAGAAAACTGTTATATGGTTTAAAAAAAAAAGAATCTTACATCAATCATTTTTCCTAAATTACACGAGACATCCAAACTGGTCAGGCCAAAGTGAGACCACCCGTTTTCTCCAGAGCTACCCCAAACACGTGTCCGAGGTAAACTTGTCTCCTTTCACCCATAAAGCTCTTGTGAAAAGACAAACAAATGTTCGGACTGATTTTCCATGAATTTAAACTTCTCTTTGGTTAATACAGAGAATTCAGCAAGTTTCCTTCCCCAAATCGTCAGTGGTACAGGACAGATCATCACGTTCATTTTTATGAACAAGGAACAGAAAAATGGATCGCACACGTGCTTTTATCAAAAAACCCAGCTGTCGATAACCCCTCCACTGCCTAGTATGGGACCGAGTGTCGGCAGAAGGAGAACTGGGCAGCACGACCTGACCGGCCAGCCTCCGCCAACCCCCGGCCCGTGGCTGCGCACTTCCGACCACGCTGCTTCAACTCCTCTCTATTCCACGTGAAGGGTTGGAGGAGCGGGAAGGATGTTTTATTCTGCTCCTGTTCACACTTCTTTTTGGCCCTTAGGACTTGCACTAAGTCTCTAAGCTGGGAAAAAATGTCTCGCCAGGAGGGGTGGAAAGAAACACACCTAGGTTCACGAGATCCGATCCAGCAGTCCAGCGAGTCCCCAATCAACGCATCGCCGTTTAGAAGCTTGAGGTCACAAAGCCTGGCCGGGCCTGCTTGTCCCCTCTACAGTGCCACACTGTCGTCCTCCCAGGCAGAGGAAAAGGAAAGCTCGGCCTTTTGGGGAGAACTCACAGGGCCGTCGCCCCCTGCTGCCATGTAGGCCGCAGCACCCAGGCCTTCACCCACGCCTGGCTCTACCCTGGCCAAGACAGCCGAAAGTTCCCACCTTGTTACAGTTGGGAGTGGCAGCCTCTGCTCATTTCTCCCACTGACTATGATGACTTTTTGGAAGGTTAACCTTCCATCCACCCTCCCCCCCTTGTTGTTTAAGCTGAAAGTCATATAACAAAATTAACCATACTAAAGCATATACTTTAGTGGCATTTAGTACATTACAATGTTGTGCAACCATCACCTCTACCTTGTTCCAAAACATCTTGTCATCCCCCAAAGAGACCTCAAATCCTCTCCTCTCACCTCAGCTCCTGACAACCACTAACCTGCTATCTGTTCCATGTAGTTACCTATTCTGGATATTTCACATAAATGGAATCATACGATATGTAGCCTATTATGTCTAGCTTCTTTCACTTAACATAATGTTTTTTAGGTCTTTATTGTAGCATGTATCACTACTTCATTCTTTTTTATGGTGAACAATATTCCATTTTATAGATTTACCACCTTTGGTTTATCTATTCATGAGTTGGTGCACAATTGGGCTGTTTTCAAATTTTGGCTATTGTGAGTACTGCTGCTATATTCATGTACAAATATTTGTTTAAATACCTGTTTTTAATTCTTTTGAGTAAATACTTAGGAGTGAAACTGCTGGGTCATATGGCAATTCTGTATTTAACTTTTGGAGAAACTGGCAAACCGTTTTCCACAGTGGCTGCACCATTTTATATTCCCACCGGCTACATACAAATTTTCAAATTTCTCCACACCCTCTCCAACATTGGTTACTTTCTATTTTTTTTTTTTTATCCTCACCCGAGGACATTTTTCCATTTTTTATTCAGATAGAGCGGGAAGGAGAGAGAGGAAGAGAGAGAAACATTGATGTGAAAGGGACACATCAAGTGGCTGCCACCCGCACGACCCAACCAGGGCCGGGGACAAACTGCAGCCAAGGTACACGCCCTTAGCGGGAACCGAACCTGGGTCTCTCTGGACCGCAGGCTGATGCTCCAACTGCTGAGCCAAACTGGCCAGGGCTGTTTGTTTTTTCTTGATTATAGACATCCCAGTGGGTATGAACTGGTATCTCACTGTAGTTTTTATTTGCATTTCCCTAATTATTAGTGATGTTGAGTACTTTTTCATGTGCTCATTGGCCATCTGTCTATCTCTGGAGACATATCTATTCAAGTCTTTGGCCCCTTTTTAAATTGAGGTGTCTTCTTGTTAAGTTGTAGGAGCTCTTCATACATTTGTATCTTGATTTGCAAATATTTGCTGCCTTTTCATGGATCGCCTTTCACTATGTCAACGGTGTTCTTTGATGCACAAGACATTTTAATTTGGATGAAGTCCAATTTACCCACTTTTTATATTGTTGCTTGTGGTTTTGGTTTGTATCTTAAAATCCGTTGCCAAATCTACGGTTATAAAGATTTACTCCCAGGTTTTCTTCTAAGAGTTTAGTCCTTACGTGTGGATCTTTGATCCACTCTGAGTTATTCTGGTGCACGGTGAGAGGGGGGGGTAGCATTCCCTTCACAGAAGTGCTCTGTCCTCAGTGAGCCAGATGGAGACGAGAGTCCTGACCTTCCGTTTCTGGGAGAGGTGTAGGGGTGGACAGAGAGGGCTGGGGGTCGATGGGTACCACACATAGGCTTCTGCTACCACTAAATCGAAACTCCTCAGTTGTTAGCTCGAATAACTGCTGCTGAGCCACAGTTCTCATGTGGCTCACTTGGCCACCCCTCAGCCCAGCAAGGTTGTCCAGTTATGTCTTTATCAGACCTCTTCTTTAAAAAAGTCACCACTCTAACAGAAATGACATGGAAACTACGGTCTAGCTCTCATCCCACGCTGTGCTTTTCCAGGGACATGAAGGAAATCTCCCTTTTGCTCTCCCTGTTGCTCCCCTATAATCATGCATTCTGATGTAGGCATGTGGCATCTTTTCTGAGGCCCATGATCAAGGTGAGAAAGAACACTTGTCCCTGTAGCATTTCAACCTCACCTGTCTGTCTACAAGCATCTCTGGACAGTCCCTAACCCCACTACCAACCTCAATATTTTTATTAAGCAGATGACCAAAATGCCCTTTCTCTTCCGTGTCGCTTAAGCAGCAGCTGAGATTCAAGCTCCTTCCTGGCCGAAAGGGAGTGTGGGTTTGTCCCGACATCCGCTTGCCTAGGCATGGTGGTCCCACAGCCACACCCAAAACACAGTCCTTGTCTGGCTCTGCTCCACGCCACCATGTTCAACAGAACGCAGACCTGGGTCAAGCTGACCTCCTGAACCAGTGACTTCCTTTAGTCCCTCTTGAGGGGTGAGGACACTGCCTGTGAGGGATCAAGTAAGGGGGCAGGTGGCATCATTAATTCTTGATTCAGCTTCGTTTTGTTGACCACTGTGTCCTTAAAGCCCAGCCCAGACCCAGCTCAGGTGCTCAGTACACAGATGTTGAATGTAAAGGAAGGGAAAAGGAGGAATCTGAGAACTCGGGAGTGGAAGATGTTCTCAGATGCAGAGGTCCCTCAGGGCACACTGCCCAGGGCACACGCCGTGACCTTGCCGAGAGAGCACACTGCCGGGTTCAGAGCGGGCCGTCCACAGATGTACCAATGGCTGAGAAAGGCGGGTAAGACTAACACCTACCTGCAAGCCAACCTCTTAGAAACCCATGACATTCTATTTGAAAAGAATACTTTGCTTTTCAGTGTATTTGATTTCACGAAACAATGAACTGTAGTCACCGTAGTCCACGGCATGCTACTATCGTGTTGGTTGACTTAAGACTGTTTCTGAAGCCATTGACAGTGTGTATCCTTGCTGTTGTCCTTACTGTTCAAGTGTAATCTCTGTAAGAATCACATATACTTAAGCCAGGGCATAAGTAGAATCGGATAATAAAGGATCATATATAATGATAGTAATTGAATAATGAATGGTGAACACAGTGATTTTGGATACATCCACTTAATTAGGTTTGGGGTCAGACATTTAAAGAAAGGATCCGATAAAAAAAAAAAAAAGAGGAAGGAGGAGGAGGGTGCCCACGAGAGCTAGACCCTGTCCCATCTCTGAGAGATGACTCCGTAGCCCACACTGTGCCAGGTGCCCTGACCGACACTGTTCACCAGCGGCACGCGATGCCCCTTTTTCCTCCTTGGGCAACACTGGTATGTTTCGGTTTTCAAGGTAGGTGAATATACTGCTAGAAAAATTCTTTAAAATCTAAATGTAATCATACATGTGATGGGGATGTAGGCGAAAGGAGAGTCTATGACATTCATAGGGAAGCAAACTATAATAGTGATGTAAATCCTTCCCTTACATGTAATAGATTATTGAAACAGAACGCACACACAACACAAATGAACAGTGAAGATAAATTACAAGCTCAACTGTGTGCACATCAGTTCATAGGTATATAAATCAGTAGATTAATGGATGCCATTTTTATCTTGCTTTCTGCTTTTACAGTGCTCTTTCTCTAGAAATGAATGCTTTACACAAGAAATTGGATTTTATTGATAAAAATCCTTATTCAGAAATATCTACATAGAGCTTCTCAGCTATAAATATTAATTAATTGGATCGCTGGTACCCACAATGCAACTTTGTTCTGACCCATGTGCCCTATGAACTAGATATTTTTTGGATTCAATTTTCTTAAAACCAACTGTCAGCGTCATGTGATGGAGGAGATGAAAAATGAAAATGAGCAGCCCCGCTGTGCAGGTGGGTGACCTGTGGGGGAGAGTCTGCCTGGTAGGATTTTTACAGGAGCCATCAGACACAGACCAATTGATTAGATCATCTCATACCCGCCACCAACTAGGCTCGAGAGACTAATTAGAGAGAGTGCTGCCTGCGCAGGCACCCCATTGACACCTAATTTGCTCAGCCTAAGCCTTTGGGGAAAATGTATTATCTCTGCAGCTGCACTTCATGCATTTCTGATTTGAGGCATCAGCCAGGAGTGCTCCATGACTCTGACCAAACCGAATGCGGAGCCCTACGTGCTGAATGCAAGCAAACTGACCCACATTAGAAATGGGCCAGGCTCCTTCTAATTTCCTCTGTCCTCCCGTAACATCTCTGTGTGTACATACGCACGCGCCCCC